CAACCGTGTCCTGGGCTGCATGAAAAGAAACATTATCAGCAGCTCAAAGGAGGTGATTCTCCCCCTCTACTCTGCTCTCGTGAGACCCCACCTCGAGTACTGTGTTCAGATGTGGGGCCCCCAACATAAAGAAGACCTGGACCTGTTGGAGAGAGTTCAGAGGAGAGCCACAAAATTAATCAGAGGGCTGGAGCACCTCCCCTATGAGGACAGGCTGAAAGAGTTGGGGTTGTTCAGCCTGGAGAAGAGAAGGCTCCGAGGGGACTTAATAGCAGCCTTCCAGTACCTGAAGGGGGCTACAGGAGAGATGGGGAGGCACTCTTGATCAGGGAGTGTAGTGAGAGGACAAGGGGTAATGGGTGTAAGCTGAAAGAGGGTAGATTTAGACTAGACATTAGGAAGAAATTTTTCGCTGTGAGGGTGGTGAGACACTGGCCCAGGTTGCCCAGAGAAGCTGTGGATGCCCCATCCCTGGAGAGGTTCAAGGCCAGGCTGGATGAGGCTTTGAGCAACCTGGGCTAGTGGGAGGTGTCCCTGCCCATGGCATGGGGGTTGGAACTTGATGATCTTTAAGGTCCTTTCCAACCCAAAAGATTCTATGATTCTATGATACAGAATGGTTTACTAAATAGGCATCAGTTAGTCCTTCCACTAGTCTCAGATTTCCTTTCTTTGAAGGTCTCTTCAATTCTCAGCCAACAAATACAGCAGTTCTTACAATGTGTGGATTTAATTTCATTAAAGAAATTAAAAATTCTCAAGATAATTCTTGCACAACAGAGATACCATAGTTATTCTGCCTACAGAATAGATTTTTACCTGACCGTTTTTTCTGACCATGATATTGTCACTGTGTCTGTCACCAATTCCCAACACGTAAGTAGCTACACAGTAGCCAGCACAAGACAGAGTAAATTCTTCAATGGCTCGATCCAAGTCATCGCTAAAAACACAAAGACAAACAATATTAGTGCATACTCCTGGTAATTCATGCCATGCCATCACCTAAAAAGTATTTTTGCTTGTTTAAACCAGAAGCCCATTAGGATGCTGTAGAACTAAACTTATTTGAGAGAAAATGCTGTAAAAGGTAGCTCTGGAGAACAAAAGAAATGCAAATATTACGAAAGGCAACAACATCAAGACTTGAGACCCATAAAACCAGGATACTTGGATGGGTTTGTTTGTTAGTTTTGCCAAATCTAGTATAGCTTAACAACAGGCAGTCAAAATGCTGCAAATGCCAGTATTTCAGCTGCATTGTTGTTTGAATTCCATGGGCACCATGAATATGACCTAGAATTTTACATACTAGAAAAACAAGTAGTAACAAACCTGCCAGAAGAGCCAAACATTCCTCAATATTGAAAAAAAAAAGCTACAGGTATTTTGTAGCTTACACTACAGATGAGAAAATAACTATAGAAATTACCCTAAATTGTATTCCTTCAGCCAGTTTAAGAGAGCATCTTTGTTGAAGGCAGCAGCAGCAGCAACATTGCTACTATTTAACTGAATGTCAGCAATGGTTTCTGAACTAGAAACAGCCTCAATAAGGCCAGAGTGATCTCCAGTCGCTAAACATCCATATGGCAATATCCTGAAACAAAACACAGATGTATGTTAAAAACAGAAATAGCAGGAATATTCCTTTAGTGTATCAATATTTTGAGAGGGCTGAATACTCATGCTACATTGAACATTAAAGTCTCAAAGGTTAATATACAGATATAGCTTGCAAAGTTCAAAATACCAGCAATACATTTAAAACGTTGATTTTTCCTATTACATATAGATATAAAGAAAGAAATTATAAGCAACCCTAAATTTTCCCTTTTACTAGGGAACACAATTACTTGGAATTTTATAGGAGAAACCATAGAGGGAGCCCTTTATTTTCATTTGTTAATTTACTGGCGAAACAGTAAGTTATACTCGTTCATTCAAGACTAAATTATCTGTGTAGATGGAAAAGAGGATCTTACCCTTTTCCCTCATTTTTCCTATTTCAACTTAAAATGCTAGAAATCCTTTTTAATAAAGTATTTTTAACTCTTACTGATTTTAAGCATAGATACCTAATGAAAAACAGGAATAAATCTTTTAACCCACCTGATATGTAAGAATATTCCTGTGCATTCATACACTATGCCTAGTAAAAATATCTACAATTACATCATTGCATTTAAATAAAACAAAGATAAAGATAGGAATCAAGGAGATATGTGTCTAAAAAGGTAAGTGTATTCTTCCAAAACATTTCCTCACTCCAGATGCTTAAAATGCTAAATGGAATGGCAACTTAGACAGGAGCTCAATATATGCAATGGAAACTTAGAGCAAACTCTTCAAAGGCATTGCATCAAAAATTGAGGTGTCTGCTCTCATGCTAGGCATCTTGGGTCAAGAATATTATCTCAATTCTGGTCATGGATCCATGTATAAAAGAATGGATGCCCATGCAAATCTAATGGCAGTACGCAAGCTATAGGCTAGCACTCAGTAACTTACAAAACTGCATAAAAAATTGTAGGACATTAAAATTTGTGTGTGTGTATATATATATATATATGGAAAAAGAACTTAGTGGAGTTGTCATTTGTATTTACATAGAAAACAGATACTAAGTTTGAACATCACAAAGCAGAACCACATCTCTCTGTTACAAATAGCCTATTATCCCCAGCCATAGGAAAAAAATAAATAAAATTCTAGATGAAATTAAATGAAACTTTTTGGCTTAACAGTTATTAGATAACCACACAGTTTCTCTACCTCAGTGATAACACACAACTGAAGCAGCACAACTACAAATAACTATATCGTTGGGGATTCTTCTCTACTGGCCACAAAGCAAACTGAAAACCAAATTCCACAGGGTACTTAAAGAACACCCAACTTCAAAACAAACAAACAAAAAACGAAATGCAGATTTGGAACCTTCTTCCCGTTCCTATTCTATTTCCCAATTAAAAACCCCAAGTCTCTAGGCCAGAGGTTTCTCACAATGAACAGAGGGGTGTCTGTGATTACGCAACACCAGCATTCCTGATACAAGGAAGCACTGCCCATCCTTATCACGACATGACAAATGTAAGCCAAATATTGCCAGGTTAAAGTGCATGCTGGCCTTCTTCCATGGCATTTCAACCCACCCTACTTGCAGCTTAACTGGGCACATGTCCAACAACTTCCCCTTCAAAAGCAAGCAATGATGAAAGCCTTCAGCCCCTTGAGGACAGTGCGCTTACAACTGGAGGAAAAAACATCCTTCTCAGAGAGACAGTTTGACAGGAGTCAAGTCAAGGACAAATCCTCTGGGCCCTTTCCATCTCATCCTGGTATTTCTGACTTCAACATCTGTCAGCAGGATATGCTCCCTGCTTTTTAATGCCAGTAAAGAGCACAGACAGATCAATACAGCAATCCTGGGCAGGACAGAAGATTTTCTTTTTCACTCCATTTAATACTGTTCTTTATTTCAGGAGTTTAACCCTCCAGAGCAGTATCTTTCCAAACACAATACCAAGTTCTAGTAATTTATCAATACATTTTCTGTAACTTCAGGTCCAATGGTTTAAAAATGACGACATTCTTTAGACTCGTAACAAATGTATTTTTCAATATGTTTGTGAGCTCTGATTTCATTCATACAGCTGCTTAACATCAGACACAGACATTAGTGGAGGTGAAAATGAAAACTCACTATACAGAGGCAGTGAAACGAAAAAGTAGTTTGGAGAACTCTATCTGTCCAAGAAGTAACTAAGCACTAAATACTTTTATGACAATTTACCACAGCAAAAGGTCACTCAGCAGAGATCAAACTCCTCAAACTTGGGACTTTCGGTTGCTCTGTTACTTTACTAATTTTTCCTTTAACACAATTTAAATGTTGTAATATAGGTAAAGCAGTGGAAAAACTTTTTGATGCAAGGATTACTCTCCTGTTCTATGATTCTATGATACTGTAGACCCCAGGGCATGCTTGGGAAGACATGTCTCTGCTGTGACATATATTTTAATATTTAAAGAGTCCTCATAGAAATAATAGGAAGTTATGTCATCTGCTAGGAGTATGACCATACACATGACTTCAGACATATAATTTTTTAAAAGCAAAGTAACTTGTATAGTTGTAACTTTTCAAGGGAATTGAACCTCTGAAAGTCTCATTTTGTCACTCTGCAGATGCAGCCTCAATATAAATACTGTTTAACTGAGTGATTTTGTTCCATAATTGCCCATATTTCAAGTACAAAAACCAATTAAACTACAGAAAGAACTGAGGAAGTTTAACTGCACATACTTACTGATGTCTCAGGCCAACTGTTTCCTGCTCAATTTTCAGGTAATTGTCTTAGAAATTAATAGGTAAGGTTTTTTTTTTAAGTATGGGGATTAATTAAAGAATACGCTTTTTTGGTTTTCTAATTTCTCTCTGGTACTTGACCGGTTGATGTCCAAGGTAAACCAACTCTGAGTCAGACTTCTCAAAATGACAGAGCAGTGCTCATCTGGGGTGATGGCCATTGCTGTTTAATGGCTGGGTCTGTACAGAGAAGCAGATGCAATTTACACCTGAAGTTTTATACAGTTGTGCACTCCCCGGTCCATCCAGTGATTGCCCAGGATGAAGGCCCTACTGGAGCACACTGTTGCGTCCTCCTGCATACACATACTTCCTTTTCTGTTACTAACTCTGGTCTTGTTCTGATGTTTAGTCAGAATGCACATGTGAGAACCTAGACAACAGGACACACCATGTGTGAAATAGGCCAGTTTACCCATGAGACAAATTATCTGACAATTAAAAACAAACCAACCAACCGTTCTCCTTCTTCAGCTTTGGAATTTTCAAAAAATATATATTTCATGTTCCTCTCCAGAGCTAAAAAATCCCACTGGGAACATCGTGTTTACTTTAGACACACACTGGGCTAAGATTTCACTTTAAATTACTCCTAAATAACTGACTGCGGATTTCAGTGCAATTATAAGGAAACTGATCCTATCCCAAAGTCCTCGCTGGCAGCATACTGGTTGCCTTTTGATCCATGCTTCACAGAAGCTGCACAATGTGCTTGTAGCAAGATATTATTGATTGGAAGAGCGAGGCAAACAGCAAGTGCTTCTGCTCTTACACTGGCAAAACAAGTGAGAAGCCCTGGTTTTACCTGAATGGAGTTATCAGACTTTTTGTAGTGGAAAAAGTTGAAAAGCGCAAAATCAATGATGCATCCACAACTGGAAAAAAGGGAAGAAACAGCTTCAGGGAAACTAAAGCCTCAAAGGATGATACAGGGCAAGAAGAAAAGACTCCGCTCATTGGTATGGACATGTAAGTCATTTTTTTCAGGAACACAGATCTATTTTACACTACTTTTCCCTTGACACCATGCCTCTTACCCAAGCAAAAGCAGGAAGCTAACAAGTCTGAACTCATTAAATGGGCAACAGGACTCACTACCACTGCTGTTAATTCATAGATTTTTGAGCTGCCTCTTCGAGAGGCACACAGACTGCAAACATGGTGATCATGAACTTACCCTCTTAGCTGCATCCTCATGCTCCAGGCATTCGGAGTGCTGTTTTGTTCAATTCTGTTTTCAATAATGGCCATTTCAGAGCCTTCCTTTGGCAACTGCCTAGTTAATCTCTCTTTGATAGACACAGAATTGTAACCCTGCCTCAATCCCAGAATTTTAGAGAGGATGAATAGAAGGAAGATGCTCCCAGTTAAGTAAATAAATGGAAGAGGCCAATTATAGAACTTCAATTCACACTAGGAATTTCCCCTTTCTATTTTTTTTTCTTCTGAGGGTTTTAAGAAAAATCTTGGACATCAGAGACACTTCTTGGTTTTCCTTTGTTGAGCTTAAAAAAATGCCTTAGTCAGGAAAAGCGTATTTGATGTCTCCCAATCACTATTCCTGTTTGCTAGGCATGGTGTGTGGCCCTAGCTGGAACCACAAACTAACCTTCTGGGAAGGCAGCAACCAAAGAATGCCTCATCTGGGATTCCACAGCTGCCACAGGTTGTCCTTGCCCCACAGTCTTCTCACAGTCTATTTATAATGCCATAAATTATCTAAGGTTTCCTCAAATTAGTGTTCAACTTAACACACACTCAGCTACCTCATCACAAACATACATGTTCAGACACAATTTATTATTCCCATTCTTACTTTATCCCGTACTTCACTCAGAGGAATCTTTCCACACGTAGCATAAGTAATAAGTTTATAATTTTACTTATCTGTGCGTGATGATGTTATGTGCCTTATGAAGCTCACACTATTATGCTTGAACCACAAAAAATGTGAAATGAGCTCAAAGAAACTAAATGAAGTATTTCAAATAATATTTCAAGTACTTCTAGCCTTATAAACAACACTTAAAAATGAAACACAAAGGATTACAGCTCTTACACAGGCATACAAAATTGAATTTATGGCCTCCAAATGGTTTATAATAATGTGACACCCAGTATCTTCTTTAGAACTATTTCTCTAAAAATAAATTAGAATTTGAGAATTATATTAGCTAGCACTGGTGCACAGAGTTGGCTGGAGAAGTTCCCCATATACTAGACATTTGAATGAGAACACTGACCAATGCCCAATACCGTTTCTCTTTGAAATACTCTAGTATTCCTGCATAGCATATGAAGGTAAGAAAGATACTTTGCAAGAGACTTTGAAAGATACAAAGATATCTCTGGTCTGAAAAATGTTTTCTGACACTGAAATAGTGTTTTATCAATAAAAGAATGCAAAGTGGGACTTCAGAATGTACACTGAAGATGTTCACAATGACCACAAGTCTTTGGGTACAAATAGTGATAAGAGGACTGCTCATGGCAGGGAAAAAAAAGTGGCTACTACAAAAAATAGTTGAGTGTGTTGCTAATCACACAAATTATTAAAAAGTAACTAGCTTACAAGGGACGAGACATTGTCCTAGAGACTTGACTAATGAACTAATAAATAAATTAAAATCCCACAACCATCTTCATCATTCTGAACAAGCTTTCCAAATGCCAGAAACTCCTGTACTCATGGTATCTTGGAAAGGTTTATTACTTAATTTTTTAGAAAAGTGGAAAAGTGGCTTTGTAGGAGCAGCAGAGCAAATGAGAAAATTATTCTCAAATGGAGTATTTCTGCCCTAACAGAATACTTAAATTATGAGTTTTCATTTCTACTGTAAGTTTACAACCTCACAAAACCTGCCCAAAAGAAGCAGAAACAGAAGCTTTAGCATGAGATATGGCTGAGTTCAAGGCCATGAAAACTTCTTCACTACAAATGCATTAGAACATTTCACTTTTTCTCCACCGACTTTATGAAGTCTGGACTAGAACTACTACATTGAAATAGCATTCAAAAGTGAAGTTTTAAGGAAGCTGCAACATATTTTTTTGCAATAGAGTAGTGATTTAAATATATCAACTTTCCTGACAACCTCATCTTACTATAGAAACTAGTCTTACTCTTGAGTCACTAGCCACAGTTTATCATGATTCAAAAATACAACTGAAAACACAGAATCACAGAATGGTTTGGGTTGTAAAGGACCTTAAAGATCATCAAGTTCCAACCCCCCTGCCATGGGCAGGGACACCTCCCACTAGCCCAGGTTGCTCAAAGCCTCATCCAGCCTGGCCTTGAACACCTCCAGAGATGGGGCATCCACAGCTTCTCTGGGCAACCTGGGCCAGTGTCTCACCACCCTCACAGTGAAAATGTTTCTTCCCACTATCTAATCTAAATCTACCCTCTTTCAGCTTATACCTGTTACCCCTCATCCTGTCACTCCACTCCCTGATCAAGAGTCCCTCCCCATCTCTCCTGTAGCCCCCTTTCAGCACTGGCAGGCTGCTATAAGGTCCCCCCAGAGCCTTCTCTTCTCCAGGCTGAACAACCCCAACTTAACACACAGCAACTGAGATTAGCAGGTGGTAAGCATAAAACAGATGGAAGTACTTTTTCTTACATATATACTTAAATAATAAAAATCTTTCACCACAGGATACTGTCAAGGTTAAGAACATAGACTCCAGTGACAATCCACTTGTCATCAACCTCCAGTCAGAGTATGTAGTCGTCCACCCATCCAGACTGTAACATCCTCACTCAAAAGGCAATAATATTATAGGAGCCACACTAAAAGCCTTGCTAAAGTCAAGGTAAGGACATCCGCTACTCTTTTCCTCCCTCAAAGACAGCAATCAGGTTAGTCAGGCACGGTTTACGCTTGGTAAATCCATAGTGATTGTTCCCAAACATAATAATTTTCTTTGTGCAGCAGCCCTCCTACAAGAGAAGCACAAGCAACTAACTTGTCTCCCAAGACCCTCATCTTCATGAAGCCTGTTATGTATTTAATACAAGACAGACATTCCTCTGTTAATTTCTATAGGAAATAGATTGCAAGTATAAGACTAATTTGGACAGTAATACATTCATTTGTGGCCATGGCTACACAAACCACACATATCCTTAAGGATTAAGACCAAGAGAAACAAGAAAATGTTAGAAAGAAGAATCTGTATTTGTGCATATTACAATTCTAGTAATTCTCAACCAGATAGGGAATACAGAATCTCAAAGCTCCTACTCCCCCATCCCCAAATTACCAGTACTTAAAGCCGACTAATTTCTAGAGAGTGTTTTGCCTGTTAGTTCCACCTATTAAAGAACCTTGATGGTGTATTCCAGATAAAATTCTTGGCAGCTCTTGGCCAGCAGATCCATGTTCTAAGTTTGTACCTCACTGGTACATGTGTATTAGAACTTAAGAGCTGCAATTCCCATAATCACTGAGTCCCCATTTTTGCATATGCCTGGAAAATCAGTGACCATTACTAGGTAAATTTGTTACATGAGGAATTTATGAAAACACCTCCTTTGGAAAGGTCACAGACAAAAACAAACAAAAAAAAGGCACAAAACCTGCTTGCTGGACCCTTAACTCAAGAACTGTTTCCTTTACCTCATACAATGCTTTTTATCTAGATGATTTTCATCCTTAGAAAACAGTAAGCTATATGAGACCAGTAAAATATATAATCAGCACAGGAACTTAGATAAATGACAAGAGATGTGATTCACTAGGAAAAATATTCTGCTTCATAATAAATCAAGAAAAGCTGACAAGTTTCACTTCACTCCCTGCATTATTTATTTTCTATTATTTTGTAATGTGGGCCATCTAGGGAATGAACTGCAAAGAGAACCCATTTAATTAGTTAAGGTAACTGCCTTCTATAGCCTGTCCACCTGGGCTATGACAATTAAAACCTTTGGGCATCATTACAGATGTTTGGAAGGGGACAGTAGAGAAGGTACTAAGGAAAAACAGGAAAGCTTTACTTTTTGTTTTTTTTTAACTAAAAGTGGACTCTCCATTCAAATAAACTAGCTCTCAAGAGATCCTTACCGGAGATCCAGACCAGCTTCTTTCCAAAGTATATCCATCAAACGCAAAATCTGGAGTGTCAACATGTCCTGGCGTTTATCTATAACAGAAGGTTGAAACGGCTATTTCAGTTTCTCTGTGTTGTAGACAAACTTTCTAAGATTTATAAAGCCTTCACAAAAAAAATATCTAAAAATACTCATCAAGCCTGAAGGATAAAGCGGGATTAACCATAATTATATCATTATGACTGATAATGCCTACCCTTTGAAGCCCAGTCAGAAGAAGATGCTTAATTTGTTCACTGATGTTAGAATAATCCATGTTTACATTACAGCAATACAGAGCAACACAGCTTAAGGCCAAGTGTGGGAATGAAGGAGGAAAAGGAAAAATTTAAAATTTTTAGCATTGCTTACCATCACCATTTTTAAAAATGATCCCTACAAGATCTCCTCCAAACATTTTATTGTTGTATACTATCCATAGAGGCTTCATTTTAGAATCCATATATCTACACTTCTCAACACTAGGAGAAAATAAAACAAATGTTTTATTTAAATAAGAATAATTCAACTGAAAAGGTCTAAACATTGTTTAAAACACAACAGAACATGTAGACTTCAGTTTGGAAGTATTTAAATATCATCTCTGCTTTCATTCTGATACTATGCTATGAGTGCTTAGCAAGTTATGAACATATCTGTTATAGACAGAATGTATCAGATACTGTGATTGGCATACATATATCTCATGCTCAAATTAAGCACTCACATTTTCAAAGAAAACAGTTTTCCTTATATCCTTTCCCATCAATTTTTAGACTTTATATTTAAGTGCTGTCTTTATTGTTATAAACAGAAGCCAGGAAAGTAGTCTAATTCACTTTTAGACTTGTATTTAAATATATTTAGGTATGGTTTGACTAAGACAGTATTAAGTTTCATGGTGGATCACAAAAACCTTCTGACTTTACAGATACCTTCACTTTAGGAAGATTCCCAACAGACCTTCTCTGACTCTAGAAAAAGTTCCCTATGACAGCACATCTGCTGAACAATACAGCCAAAGGAAGTTAACACACATATCTGTTTCTGCTTTGCTGTTCCTGTGCAAAAGCTACAGTGAAATTTTATTCATTCATTCTTAACTTACTGTAGTTCTGAAAGTATAACAGAAGGGTTCAGAGGAGACTGGAGGTCAGAAAGTGCTTCTCTGTAAGCATTTTGTTTCAAACATGTATGCATTGCATCTTTTCCTTTTGCTTTGCTTTGCTTCATGGCATTCAGCTTAATGAGACTATTTAAAGTCTTCATTTTATTAAGGGCTTCTACCTGAAAGAGAGATTTTATCTTTAAAAGCCATTGCTCTGATTTTAAGCATAATAAAATGCATAATCCCATTTCAAAACAAAACAATTAACTGAAGTATTAAATTAATCTACAACTTTTTAAAAACAGAAATAATAGATAGCAATTAAAGTGGCGTTCCTGAAAAAATATAAGAACAGCCTTTTCTAAGTTGCTCATGTCTCAGAAATCCCATTTTCTTAAGTAACCAAGACATCAATAGCATTAAATCTCCTCAGCTTCAAGTCACTTTTTAAAGCATGACTTAACATTTCCAAAAATGTGAGTTATTTTAATGTATGATACATTTACAGAAATGCCTTCTTCGAAGTATAATTTGTGTCCACTAATTCAACAAAGCACACAACATAGGTGCCTCTATTCATACTGAAGTCAACAGAAATACTGAGTGCTTCCTACCTCTGACAAAATCAAACGTTACTTGAGATGAGCGCTGAATGCAGACACTTCATTGTACACATCCAGTTAGTTGCACACAACGTGCTATGGCCATATAACTACTTGCAGACATTTTTCACATATAGAACTACACATACTTAACTTTTACAAAGCAGAGTCTTAAAAGTCTGTTCATTTGAAGTTAGGCTTAAGGTAAATGCTCCAAGCAATTAGGGTGTTCCAAACCATAGTATCTCCACGAAGCAATATTGTTACTTAAAAATGTGTCAAAAGGCAAGGCTATTATTTGCAATCAATACAGGTGGGCTTAACTCTTTTTCCCTTTCCTGTGCTTTGGAAAGTTTTCTATTGATACATAAATTCTAAGAAAAGTAAACTAGCGATGTAAATGTACATAACACTAACAGAGAAAAGACCTTCAGTAACAAACCTAGACACCACATATAACAAATGTAATTTCTACACTGCATCTACATTGTATTTGCACTAGCCACAGTTAACATACGCAGCAATACACATATTCTCTAGCAAACAGTATCAATTTAATAATTACAAAAGTTGATTTCTATACAAGGAAGCTTCAGTCTAACTTAAAAGGTGCTGAGTCAAAACTTACCACTTCTACAGACAGACTGAACACTGTCAGACAGGATGCTGTGGAAATTGTATGCAGTGTGATTATAAAACTGAGGCAATGGAGACCTGCCAGGTCAGCCATCTGTCAAAACCAAAAGTGCTCTGCTTTTCCACTATTCTAGGACCTATACAAACATCAGTGACAAGGGAACAAAATGGAACCTGTGTTGTACAAACAGGAACTTTTTGAAGTATTTCTACTTTGAATTTCTTCCGTGTTTGCACAGTTGGGAATTTTTTTGCCCTTTCTTTGACTGTACTGACATTTGTTTCCTGTGAAGTGCACAAAAACTTCACTGACCTTAGGTGTATTGCTTAAAGCATTTCATCACCTAATCTTTTTAGGATTTTGACCATACTAACAAGCACATGTGTAAGAGATGGTCTTTTCACTGTTCTGTGAACTGCAGTAATAAAGAGCACAACAGTACATTCCTGTTCCGTATCCATCTCAAAACATAGCTTTAATGTAGACAGTATCAAAACTGTTAGAAATAACACTTAGAGTTAGTTTTTGTGGCCTGATACAGCAAATACATTCATTCCAGAGAGAGTTCATTTTTCAAAGACATTTACAGTCACAATCTAAATTATCTCACTAAAATGCCATTACAGCCTTCAAACATGATTTGTGGGTGTCTATTCATGATCCGCTGGTACACTTATTAGGGTATTTAAAAGCAAACATATCTTGGGATTTTTCCCCCCATTTTTGTCAATGGCACATCTATATTAACACTAATATTTGGTTTACATCAACATCTTTATTTCCAGGCAACACTACATTATACTACAACTTCAGGGGTGTTTGCTTTAAAAAAGAAAAAATAAAAGCTCCCTCATCCATCTATTTAACCCTTTTATTTCTCTGCCTCACCCATGCTTCCTTCTCTTCCTTGCTCCTCAACAGATGGGCTTTGTCAAGGTGACCAATATGCCCCACAGGAGCAATGGAATAAGAATGTGAGTTATGAGCTGGGATAAGTCAAGATTTAAAGGAGAAGAGAAGTGTATACCTGTTTAGCAAGCACCTTCATATGAGCAACACTTCCTCGGCAGTAAGCTTCAAGTATCAAACCAAACTGTACTGAAACGGCAGGAATGTGAACCTCCGATCTGTAAGAAGAAAAGCTTCTCATAAGACTATAGGATTTACCGATCAGCATTCTTCAAGCCACCAAAAAAAAAAAAAAAAAAACCAACCCAAAACTCTCATAGTTAATGTAGACAAAACAAAAAGCCAGATTTCTTAAGAAATAACAAAACACGTATGTGCTGCATGAGGACTGGCTGGTTTCAATGCATTCCACTTCTTTCAAGGTCTACTGCTCTGGAGGCAGTAATCTTAAGAAGCAGCAATTAGATATTTGTTTTCGGGAACCCCTTTTATTCAAGAAAGTAGTACTGATAAGTCATAGAAAATCATATTGAGAATCAGGACTGATGTTAAAAACTGTGTGTTCTCAAATCTTTGTAAGTGAAAAGCCAAAATTTGCCTGAGGGGGAACACTTTCAAACAAACCACTGAACCTTATACCAGAGCCAATTATTGTCCAAAACATTTTCACGTAGTACTTGCTCTTTTTGTTTAGAAATATTAAAATGGATTGTACTTTGAAGACAGAATCAACCTCTAGTCCATTCTGCAAGGTATCTGCCGTTCCCAGAACTGGTCATCAAAAGCGCAATGACACAAAACTGTTTTTATTTGCTGTTAAGACTCTAAAAATAATATACATTTTTCCCAACTGTGAGACAGAAATACTGTACATTTACTGCAAGCACAGCCAAAATAAACACTAACGTTATATACAAACCTAACTTACCAGATAGTTAAAGCTGAATGCAGTTTAGAGTGCTTTTGTCAGAGTACAAACCACTGTAATATATTTTTAATTATAGCTTGCTCCAATCTATAAATGCCAAAGGTAAAGAAACATAAAGAGGACTTGGAGGGGACTATGATAACAGCTCATTTAGAAGAATCCTCAAGAAAAATCATTTCTGAAAGTCCGATCAGGCTCAGTAGTTTTAGAAAGATGAAAGTGAAAAACTCTCACCTTAGATGCCAAAACAACATCTGTCCTATTCTCCTATTAGCAAGTGCTCTCTCCAAGAGAAATCTGGAGAGAGCACAATCAAGAAAAGGTTCATATTTCAGGACTTGCACCAGTTGAAGAAGATACTGAGAGAGCTCTTCATCACTAGAATGAGGTACATAAAAGCAGTTAGTAACACAGTAACTATATTCCAGAAATTCAGATGCATATGACAAATCCAACTATGACAGATTTGTTTCAATAGCAAGAGTGTCCCTCAATTTTTCAGTCATGTGGAGAAGGACTATAATACACAACTTATTGCAACTGCCAGATTGATCAATTCATCAGCAAGTCATACCTCCAACAGAATCTTAAGGCCCTCAATCCTTTAAGAAAAACTTGGTACTCTGTCATGGGCTTTTGCAAGACTAAGATCTCAGCCTGAGTGCTAGGTTAAGTAGGTTAATTAAGATTAATTATTTCACATTATTTCAGACTGGACATTGGCTCTTTTTGACCAGTCAGCCTCTGACTGAGGAGCTGGACCTCTGGAACCACATAAAAAGCTGTTGTAGCCTAGCAGTCAGCTGCAAGGAGCATGGACAAGAACTGAGAGTACCTGGGTATACCTATCAAAATCACTCTGCTTACAAAGAAGGGGGAGAAGAGTATTTGTTCCATTGAAAGCAATTCAATTAATGTGTCTTCAAAAATTAGTCAGTTAATTGGTGTTAGTTTATTAAGATAAACCTACAAAGTGATCCATTTAGACAAAATGTTTTGTTTGGGTTTTTTTTTTTTTTTTGGTTGTTGTTTGGTTGGGTTTTTGGGGTTTTTTTTAACATACTAACAGGAAGGTTTTTAGAGGATAAGTACATCATCTTTGAGAAACCAAAGTGTCCAAATTACTCTTACTTCAGAAGTGCAAATTTATTTAGCCACAATTCATAAACATACCTTTGAAAAGCCTCTATGCTAATTAACTACTTCAAGTAATATTCTAACATAATAAAAATAATTCCAATACTTTTCTATAAAATCCTATCCTCCCCTCTTGAAAAAACCCCACCTCTCACACTTGACAGTTATGTTACTCTAGAACAAATGTGTACATTACTTCTTACATTCAAGTATTTTTTCTCTTATAAAAGGCCTGCAGAATTCCAGTTCTCTAAGATGGAAGAAAAAGAGTAGAAATTCTTCTGTCCATCACTTCAAGGCTTCAGAGATGCAAACACTGAATTCTTTCATTCTCTCCATCCTACTCTGAAAACTTCAGTTACTTGGTAAAAACGTTCAGTTATTCTGTGTTGTACTTATTTTAATTTCAGCTAACAGGATCACCTTTAAGTTACAGTTTTTACCAGCTGCCGTCATCAGACTTCTTAATGAAGCTGAAAATTGTTTTCTGACACCCAACACAATTTTGCTTCTCAGAGCCAGAACTAAGAATTCTAGAAATAATTCCAGATGTAACAACCCAGATGTAACAACTCAGTATTATCAGGATAGCCCAGTGCTAAATTTATTGTTTGCATTTGAAAGAAGTCAAAATATTCTTTTTTTTTTTTTTTTTTTACCCCAAAAGTCTAGCCTTGACCATCAAAAAATTAATCATTAAAGTACTGACCACAGAGGATTTAGAATTCAAGGACAGGAAATATGCAGTAATGCTGCAAATGACAATGTTACACAAGTCCTGCCCTAGGTTACACTGAAGAGCAAAATCATATGCAATTAAGAACAAACTGCAGAGAGCAAAGGCTACCATGAAAAACAAACAAATCCGTAATTCTCTGGTTTTTTTTATTATGTGCTACAGCTTACATTTCTATTAAATGATACAGCAAATACCTGACACAGAGTATGAGGTGGCTGGATGGCAGATTTTATCGTATTTGACTGTTGTAATATATTTTGTCCCTTTGTTACTAAGAAGTTCTCACACTATCTTGCTCTCCCTTTGTCCAAGAAAGGGATGAATACACAACCCTCTCTGGAACAAAGGTACACTCGTGTTCTCCTAGCAGCATGGAAAATAATAATCACTGGATGTCAGAATAAGAAGGTTTTATTTGGCTGCCAATGTACTTATCTGGAAATTAAACTGCTCTATTTGGTCATCTATTCATGGCAGACTGTGTTTAAATCCCTCCTCTTTGGCTTCTTTTTTCCTATAGACAAACAGAATGCAGTCTTTTTCCCTAGAAATCCTGGCATGCTGAAGTAATACAACATACTCACCTCATCTGCTTTAAACATCCCACTGCATACTCTCTCACATACTGGTCTGGATAATTGAAATCCAACAATTCCAATGCTTCTCTAGGCAGCAGCTTCGGCCAGATCTGAAGCAGAGCCTGAAGCTGTTTTAAAACAGGACAACTGTTAGGTTACAGGTAAAGTAACTATTTTAGAAAAGAGATGGGTATAACTGTTCATAAAAGCCTATAAAAGCATTCATACTAACAGAAGGAGATTACAGACTGGTCAGAATGAGAGAAATAACTCCGGGAAAATGTGTCTGCTTCCGATTCCTTCCCTTTAAAAATGATCCAGTTTGGTTTTGTTTGTTTGGTTGGGTTTTCTTGCACCAGGTCTCATTTACAGTCTGAAAAGTCTGTTTCTTTGCACACTGACACTACACATAGTGAACAAAAATTAGGTAACCCCAGACACGTATGTTTCAGAAACAGAGTTTCAATAAAATTTAGATAATGTTTTGTAAATCTTCTCATACATATATAAATATTTTCAAATGGCAGAAGTTTTCCATTTAAAAAAAAGTCTAAAGGTTTTTCTTGAGAGATCTTTACCAAAAATATTTATCCACCTCAACTGAAAGAGCATTCTCCCACATGCACTGTGAATAATAAGAAGCTTAAATTGCAGAGAGGGTGATGGTGGCTATTTAAAAAAAAAAAAAATCCCAATACTGAAAACAATGATGTGCTGGAAAAAATTACAGAAAACACTAGCATATTATTTTGGTCTACTAAGAAGAAAAATGTCCAGAGGTCTCATAAAATAAACTGGTTTTATTGCATTTTAATGAAGCTACCCGCTGAGGGTATATTTTTAATAATACGTAGTTGTATGACTGAAACAGTATACTATTACTCAAAATAAACAAACTTGAACATGTGCAGTATATCAACAGCACAAGATTTTTTCCTCTCTATAGGAACAAGTCATAACTTATGATAAAAATACCCTTTCCTACAAACTAGATAGCACAGATATTTTATATTCAAACAGGAACTTATAAAATCTCAATGATTAGGAAGATCTTATTTTTCTCCTGATTTAGTAATCCTTTTACACCAACAGTGAAAATCTCTATTTTCCACTATAGGTCATAGTTCAACTAATGCTTCCTGTTCAAGTATGACAATCACGTATGCATTCATAGTCTCAATGCACATTTAACACGATGGAAACACCTGGGGGGCCAGATTCTCAACTGGTTCATTGCTGCAGCTTTGTGAAATTCAGAAGGCAAGAAACAGGCACAGATCAATCACGAAGCAAAGACAGTGACCCTGCTACAATCCCAGAAGTGGAGGAAAGAATCAATTTAACTCTTTTTGTGGGCAAATACTGATATAAACACATGCAATGAGATGTATTCCCACAGAAACATACACACAGAACTTATTCAATCTGTAGCCCAGTAAGGGTCAGTGACACTATCAACACTTACATATCATGAATACTTGTTCTGAAAGTCTAAAAGAAATACTAAGCAATACTTAATACCATAAAACAGATGTTGAAATGCAAGCAGCAGCTACACTTGTCAGACATACAATAAGGAACTTCAAAACAAATGTATCAGAACTTCTACACAATCTATTTTAAATCAGGTGCAGAACCAACACAAATAGAGATGCATTTTGTTAATAATGATCGATCAAGGTGACTGGAGAACCTGAAACAGAGTCTGAAAAGACGAGTCAAAGTAGCATTACATAGCTAATATCAGGCGATGAATTTTGAAAGTCATGGTCTACAGCATGTAAATGAACTGTGAAGTTTATATGAAGACACAAACCTCCTCCCTTTGACTGCTGAAATTATTTCAGAGGTTATTATAAATTATAAAGTGTAAAGTGATATAAGCTTAGAGGAAGCAAGATCTAAATGGTCTATGAAACAGACAAGAAAGTTCCCCAAATACCTACTGCTTTGTTTATGTTCTGCATTGGAACTTTGATTAAGAGAGAAGTGCAGTCCAACTATCTCCACCTCCCCGCTGTGTTGCACACTTCTCGGAAGTACAAGTGAAAGGATATCAGAAATACTTGCTCTATTTGGACAAAAGAAACTGACACCATGAAATGCCCTCATCTGCTTTGACAACAGAGAGGCAACTCTGAAGAACTTCCAAATACATCTGATTTGTAAAGAAATTTTACATTTCAAAATATGTTTCAAAGTTCTTTAAAGTTTCTCTGCAATATCAAACATGTTAAAATACTACACATGTCAAATACTGCATAATTTTCCTCTTGCATGGTTTGCAACTCCTGACAACCTGTGAGAAAACAAGGAACTTCCATTCTTAGCAATAAATAACCTAAGGGTTTAGAGAAAGCTCAAGTCTGGCCTTGGTATATACCTTTACTCTTTTTTTTTTCCCCCCTATAAAGAACCAACTATGATTTCTTCCTTAACAAGACAAGCTTACTATAAGAGACAATACAATTAAGCACAGGTCAGTATTTTTATTCCACTTATTTCAAATATTTCAAAAATTAACTCCAATCAGCTGTCCTTTCTCTAGTTCTCATTAATGACGGTATCGCTTCACTGAAAGTGGGTGGATTTTTCTCTTAAATAATTACTAAGTTCTGTTTCAAGGATAAATCCTGCCTGTGAATTCTGCTAACAAGTTCTGCCACCCAGCTACGCTGCTGAGAAAGGAGGTTATGGCAACAGTAAGGGAAAATACCTTCAGAATTCTTCAGTACAACTATTCTACTAAAATACTGCAATACAATGAGAGCTTAGATGAAGTATATATGGTAAATAATACAAGCAAGCTGCTTTAATCCATTGTACATAACTTCAATCTGTTAGTTCAGTGGTCCATAAAGGTGATCTACAATGAAATATAATACTCCATTTCTAAGAAACCTTACTCCTTTTGATCTTCATTAATAGACATAGGAATATAGTTAGTTCATTTTTCTAACAGCTGGTGTTTACTTGCTTTTCGGAAGGTTTTTTTTTGTCTTTGTGTTTGGTTGGTTTTGGATTTTATTTTGTTTTAAACTTTCTTGTCTTAAGTGTCAGACTTTCACTGAAAGACTTACAGCCAACAATAGGCAGTAAAAAACCTTCTAGTACCAGGGCATGCATGTTGTTGTAGTAGCAGAAATATTGCAACATGCAGCTAGTACCATATGCATTTAATTTTAACGAGAGGTAAATTAGAGGCCTGCTAATGTTGGAATTCATAAAATTCCGGAGCCTGTCTTGACTCACCTGAAAAGATAAGTCATTGGGAATTCTTACATGTTTATGTATTACAGAAATATTTGGCATGTTTAAGGATAAGGTCTCATTTTTCAGACAGACAATTCTTGCTGCCAAAAACCGTATTAAAGTATAAACCACTCTATTGTCTATACATAAGCAAACATAAATACTACATTCCTTCCAGAAAGTACACAGTAACAAGCAAGATGACTATGTATTTGCAGCTGTTTAAATAAAAGGCTTTATATGCATTTTTTAATATTCCCAAATTTAAAGAACTTTGAACTGTCAGCTAATATTCATACTCCAAATAACTTTTCAGAACTCTGCTTCCAAAGGCCATAGTTCAAAGCCTCTAGCAAGCAATCAGAATGCCTTTCCTTCAAATATTTTAATGAGTAAACAAACACCTGCTTATATTTCTACAGTTTGTATTTCCAGAGAACTTTTAATAATGAACAGCAAATTCAGAAGAACATAATGGAATTACAAAGAATTCTTTCATGTGAAAGAACACAAGTGAGCAAGGAACATGTGGGTGCTACATTTTGTTAGTGTAGTGTTCAGCAAATGCTTTTTTATCTTTAAGTTCTTTAAAAATGAAAAATCATTTGAAAAAATCATGTCTGCCTCAGTGAGGTTTAATTACCCAGTCTGAGATGTGGATTTTTATAGTCTTTGAGCAGTTTAACAATTTTTATAAGAAGCTTTAGTTCAGATCTTGATTTACAAACCTTTTTTTTTTTTAGTAACCTTATAAAAGGAATTATTACTGTGAGGGTGGTCAAACACTAAAACATGTTGCAACCTAAATGATTCTATGATTCTGTGAAATTCCTTGCATTAATATCAAAGCTGAGCAGAAGATTTTAAAATTAAACTGCATAAATAATTGCTGTGCTTTTCTCATCATTCAGAGGACCTCTGAAATGTATTCTGGGTTTTGGTTTGGGTTTCTTTTTTGTTTTAAGATAACAAGTTCTTGCTTATGTGTCCAGGCCACAGAAGGTATGCAGAACTTTGGTTTATACAACAGTACCATTTCAAAATGGTACTACACTTGGGAAATAAACCCTATTTACTCATGATTTGACTCCAGCATTTTTCCCCATCATCACTGCCTTTTCCCTTACCTGAGCAACATCTTCAAGTTTGTTCCATTTTAAAGAGAGCAGCAGTTTTGGCAACGATTGTGGAAAATTTTCACGACAGTCATATCGCAAAGTCCAAATAAGATCCATTTCATTTTCACAGAGTTGAGATAAGGGATCTCTTTCCATTATTTCTTTTAGCACAACATAAAACTTCTTACCACCTCGACCCTAGAAAATGAAAAAATGTATGATGTTTTGATATACTCAGTAAGATTCTATTTTAGCTCAAATACTAGAAATTGTACACCAGGAAGAACATCAGATAAACCTCATGAAACACAGGGGAATGACTACTATCCCCTTCTTTCAGATTTCACATTTCTTAAGCTGTAAGAATTGTAACTAATAGATTCAAAATTCAGTGTACAGAAAATCTAACTAAACTTTAGAGTTAATGACACTAGATGGCAATATTTCTATTTCTCAACTCTAACATGGAAAACTTTCATTTAGGATGAATATACTTTCTCCTTTTGTTTTTCAAGTGAGCAATTTTAATAGAGATACATATGATTTTTTTTTTAATTGAAAGACAAAAAATACTCTTCCAACAATAACCAAAGGGAAGTACATTTGCTAAGTATAAAAACACTTTTTTTGTCTTCTAATCCAGACTTGTCTTTTCCAGACATTTTGCTCCATTTTATCTCTCTAAAACATTAACATTAGTACTGATTCTGTACATTGGTCTGTATGAATGAGCCTTCACACTGGCTCAGTTAACACCTTCTGTCCCCAGCCATGCCCTTCTGCAAACTGTGATATCAGCAACAACAGCATTCCAGAAATTTATGGGAGACAAAAGAAACTGCTGTTTCTGAGTAAGGAGGTAGTAGTTGAAGGGAATAAACTAGTTTCAATACATATTTTGAAAAACAATATGGCAAACTTTAAATACCAAAGCCAACTTTATCTTCACAAAGCTGAAAAAGTTCCTACGTAATTTTAAGAGGTAGGCCAAAGGTCTTTACATTAATGGAAAATTAAAAAACTAAGGAAAATTCAGAAGAAATAGTAGCCAAAATCAATTAGGATTCATAGCAGAAACGAACAGCTGTCATCAAATAACATTCTGCACAGGTCTCCCACCGGTGTGGGGAGTTAATAGACTTTCAAAAGCTAGTTGAATTGAATTGCTTATTTAGTAAAACTAAGTGCATAGTCTGTTTTCTGCATCAAAATAAGTAAACAGTCTTGACAATAAGGTGACTCTTGTCTCTGAAAATGTTAATCTTTGAAATTAAAAGTCACAATAGTGTCAAGTTGGCATTCTGCCTTTTAAGATTTCCAATTATACGTACACTAAGTTGCTTGCACCCAAAGTAAGTGAGATTTCACTTTTCCTGAGCATTTCAGGCACTGGGCATTGTAGCTGACACATTTTTCAATTAGCTGCTTTATTCTTACATAATATGCAGTTATTATTACTGTTGATCTGACTATGCTTTCACCGTCTTAAATTGCAATCTTCAATATTTTGTATATAACACAAAGAAAATACCTTCAGATTTTGGTGATCTTTTCAAAATTTGTCCTCATGTTAGAACTATCCAATTCCTCAAGAAGAGCACATAATCACCACATTTAAGAAACATCATCTTATAGACCAATGACCATTTTTTGAGAGAGCTTATTTGGAACCATCCAACAATCAAGCAAATCATCATGCTTGATAAAACTAAGCAATTTCCAGCAATATTTACGCAGCCTAGGAATATTATCCAGAGCTAATATAAATCTTAGCTTAGTTCCAAATCCATAGAGTATGTAAAGCAATTGTGCTTTTTGACAAAAAACAGCCAAGAAGTCCAAAATACATTGGAAAAAGTGGATATGTACCTGAATTTCAAGGTAGCTCAAAGTGAATTACAGAAGAAAACAGAGCCAGTAGAACTGTCCTTATTTGAGTAGTTGGCTTATTTATTACCAGGCTGATGTAGAAGATAAAAACAAATCAAAAAGAAACCCCAAAATTAATTTCAAGAGTCTTCAGCAGATGCTTACCGCCATTGCAGCATTGTCACTGCTTCTTGCAATCTCAGCTGCCTTTTCAAGTATCTGCAAAAAGATGTTTTTAAATACATTAGGTTTAAAAACAAATCTGACTGCATTAAAAGAATAAATATTATAGAAATGAAGCAGATAAGGAAATTTTGCTATTTTTGAGATAGTTACAACACTATTCTTTTGTATATACAGTGGTATAACAGGCTTCTATGCTGTGTCCCTTTTCTAATCTGCAGGACTATGGAGATCAGGAATAGGAATGCTCAAGATTACTTCTATTTTCTTTTTCACTACTCTTGGGATAAATAGTCTTCCCTATAGCATCTTGTTTTCTGTTTCTGTTTGCATTTCCTCCTCATTTTTCAGTACAGTAAAACAATTCCTCAACTCTAAATTATGCTGTGCTTACTCATCTCTACTTCTGCTGTTTTCGAGGGCACTGTTTCCGTAAGTCATACCTATTACCCACAGGTCCACACTTCTAGCCCTCTATGAATCCACAAACTTAATCCTTTCACCACGCTCTCGGATCGCCCATATGATCTCAATTAGCGTTTACAGTTACTTCTCTAAATCTAGGATCTTCCCTTGTGTAACATCACAAACAACCAGCTTCCAACAAGAACTCATTTAACGATAAAGCAAACATTCCACCTCCAAGCTCTCAAAACCGGCTAATTAATATACAGCAATCCTCAGGAACAACGACTTTTTAGTGTGTTGAACATTCTACTTAGTTTTTGAAGTTCATGTAATAAATCATGATGGGTAGTTAAGTATAGATGTAAATACAGTTCTTCAAACTATATTCTGCACGCTACTGCCACCAACAGAGATGTTAGAATGGTGACTGCCTAAGCTTATTAGACCACCTGAACTGGTCAGGACATCTGCAGCTGTCCGATGCTGCTGCTTTGAGGAACAATTCATAAAATGAAATACCTATTAAGAAAGAAGTCTAAGGAACGGTGCCACCTCCTTTCCCTCAGAGGTCTGCCTCTGCCATCACCCAGGAATACAGCACCACCTCCAGACCCAGATTCACCAAGACTTGTATTGTCTTTACTCAGGCAATACAAGAGACAAGAAGACTACAATAACCAGAGCATAAACACCCAGCAGCTAAAATCCTCAAAAAGGTACATGCACTTGTTTTATTTCTTTCACTGTACGAAATGCTTATTAATAAAAGATTTATTACATCTGCTACTCGGCTACGAAGCTTGTTTACGTACTGTGTGTGAAAACATGCGTAAACAGAACCACAATGTCCTAATTCTATGTTTGATGCTTGCCTCCTTGTGCTTTTGATTTACTCTGTTTGCAAGTAAATTCTGAAAGTTTCTGCAAGTCCAGCTTTGTTCAGCTGAGCTACAAGGCCCTCAGTGGGTCAGCAGCACTGATCACTGACCAGCCCAGTATGTGGTTCCTGCATTAGACAACAGTTTTCTTATCAATTGTCAAGGCACTTTTGCTCACTGAGCCCCAAACAGCTGCTCACTGCAAGTGGACTGATGCTGTGATCAAAAAGATTAATCTATTTTTGCACATTATATTTCTTAAAATAAAGTTTTGGCATGCGATTCTCTGTTTTCTTGGCAGAAACAAGCAACACCACTGGGAAAATTAGAAGCAGCCATATGCCAAGCAGGGCTCACCTAGACAATTTTGAAAAACAGATTCTGAGATCATGTAATTCAAGCAGCTTCAATGTTACTCCTGAGTCAACAGGACTTTCCCTATCTTACTCTCTGAGGGAGAAATTTTACTATACCCACGGAAATGGAATGAATTATCAGAGAGTTTAGAGCTCTGATTTTCCCAGTGATACTGCAAAACAGTTTCTTAACTCTAGGGAATTGCAAGTAGCAAAAGTTACTGGGGGGGAAAAAAAAACAAAAACAAAAACAAAAACAAAAAAACAAAAACAAAAAAAACCACCAAACAGCTAAAAAAAAGCACATTCTTCAAAACTGAATGCTTTCAATTAAAGTTTCATTTCCAGCTCTCCAATCACTTTATAAAGATGCTCTGGGATTTTCATCTATCTGATATGCAGGAATTCTCAGGTACAGTTCAATAATGGGGCAAAGACACAAAATAAAAAAAGCCAGCAGCCAAATGGAAGTCACAAGGGATGGTGAAGACCATCAGACACTACCTTAATGTCAATGCATCAGATAACTTCCTCAGTGAAATCTTTTGTCTGTATTCATCTGAGCATTTTAACATATTGAAAATGTGGTATCACAGGTACAAATGAAAGGAACAATAGAGCTAGAACTAATACACCATTACTTAAGAAACATACTTTTACATATCATGTCTGTAATATGCACATAAGTAGCTTTTTTTTTCTTTATAAGTTCAATATATAGAGAGTAATGAGCAAAAAACTTAAACCATTACAAATAAAACAATAACAAAACTGACTAAAATATGTCCAGTATACTAATCTGGTCAACCAAAATTAAGAAGGTAATTAGTCAATACTGTTTTAGCTCTTTACAATGCTGTTCTAATACAAGAACAAATACTGGGCTGACAAGGAGGAAAAAAAGCCCACCATCCCAAAATCACAACAACAACAACAACAAATCTATCTTATTATTTGATTTAATTTTTATGGACCTTAAACCCAAAATCCCTCTTTAATCAAGCTGATAAATTTTGGTGGTTTCCATCTTTCTGTTCATGTTCCCCAAAGGTGCAAAACCCTCAAAAAAAAAAAAAAAAAAAAAAAAGTGGGGCAAAAGGGGGTAATTTTCTCTAAGTGGTTATTAACTTTCCCAAAAACAAAATTCAGACTAATTAACGTATGAATTAAACCTTGTTTTTAAAATGTATCATTTTGTGTCTGTTTTAATGCTTATTTTATTACTTGTTTCCTGGTCTTAGCTTTATTTGGTGGTTTGTGAACAATGTGCTGTCCAGCGTTCAGACTACAGACATTACCATGTGCATTCCCAACACACACTTCCTTTCCAGTCAGACATTCTTATCCCTATCTGTAAAAAAACTGCAGGGCAACTTAAGTGGCTTTAGTTCAAGAGCAGATCTTGAGAAATCCCTTTTCATACAGTATTAAGAGCCTATTTATCCTTAAAATTATTTTAGCTCATAGAGGAAAGAAGCATCCCAAAGTGTGAGTAACATACACTTGTACACAGAAATAGCAGATATTTATAGATCACATGCAAGCACAGTTTGCAGGCTTCCAGAATGGCAGATAAGTTTAGCTTCTTGTAAGATTATTGATATTGGAAATTGATTATGCTTCTGACCCTCAAGAGACTATGCACAGCGTGTCTTTAAAAAGTACATGGCTTCAAAATACTGTCTGAAGACCCTGAAGTCAGAGCACTGGCACTCTCACACAGTGCAAGTTTAAAAACCTGCAGTGTGCTAACTAAAAGGCAGGAAGTGGGGAATTCAGTGGAAAAGGCAGTGTTGAAAGGAAGGAAGAACCAGCTATCTACACACAAGCATTCATGACTGCTCTTCATGTCATACCTTACCTTATCAAAGGGAGGATAATTAATAGGCTGTTTTGAATATTCTTGAAATCTAATGTGCAAAGCTGTTGCATTTTCAGTGTAAGGGTTAGTCTGGACTGTTCCCATTGGATTCAACATTTCTTCAAGCTCATCTGAAACATTAGACAGACATGCATAAAAATTAAAAAAATCTGAAAGGCAAAGACCCAATAAGAAATTCCTTGCTGTATACAATTGACAGAAGCTTGTTTTTGTGCACAGCACTTTTACTACCATGCACTGCATTTCCAGCATGAACTACCCATACCTCTTACATTCACAAATGTGGGATTATCACCCAACAAGAAACTGATTTTCTCTTTCCAAAATAAACAAAACATTCAAGGGAAGCTGAGATATCCCTGAACCAAATCCCACGAAGATCTGCAGCTTCTGTGAACCAGTATACACACTGCCTCTACATCAAATAGTAGGAAAAGAGTTTTAAGCCAGAATTTATTCAGCACTATAGCCAAGCTGATACAGGATTTCTCAGGATGGAATCAACAGTGACACGGATATTTCACACACTCTTACTCATCAATCTGAATGTCCGGGAAGGAAGACTTAAAAAAAATTCCAATGTACATCTTTTGCCAATGAAAGTATTGTCACATACAACATAGCTTACCTATTTAGTTCAGGATGCATAGCACAGGGAACCAAATGAAACCTAAACTGCATCTTAAAAACAGGCAACACTAAATATAAACCTGCATCTATTTTTTATGTGATTTTCCTTCCACATCAGATAAAATTTTCAGAATACTATTTCCAAGCAGACTGTTGGTCCTCCTTCACAATACATAATACTTTCAGGAAAGAGATTAAGACATTATATATTTATCCACAGAAAAAATACAAGAAGTAAAGAGATTGACAGGAGAATTGGACATGCATACAGTAAATATTCTAGTATTTGATACTACTCTTCATTAGTCTTATAAGTATTTAAAGTCTAAATCTTAAAAGTTAAACTTTACCAGGAAATGATGACCAGCTGTGCAGTACCAGTTCTCCATTCTTCAACTGTCCTTTATAATCAAATACCATGGTATTTACCCAGGCTACAGGATAATGCTGTTAAAATAAAGAATTTTTACATGGAAACTAAGATGCCAGTGAACATCCTTATGCAGCAAGCACTACAACATAAGTAAAATTGAGAGGGTTGTTGTGGTTTTTTTTAAATGGTGGTATCTTTCAGAAAAGCAGTTAGACACATCCAGTTAGACACATCCAGTTTACAGTATGTACTCCAGCACCACTGAGGACAGTAAGACTTAATTTTAAGGGTGTCAGTCTGCCAGAGTAAAACCACACATTTCCCTGAATGTGAGCCTAGATGCTATTTTTTTCATCTTTTCCCAATCACAACTCATCTACAGTTCAGAAAAAAACTGACCTCTTAAAATACAATTCTTTAAACAGCCAATTGGCTTACAACCAAAATTTTCATGCCTTTTTCAGTGTCTGAGAAGTATGAAAAGCTTTTTCATACCAAGACATGCTATTTTTAATACATGTGCTTTTTTTCTTTTTTTTAATTTTGCATTCCTGAACACTGAAGTGAGGACAATGAAAAATTTCTGAATACTCATTGCAATGTAACTCAGAGGTACACTGAAGAAAAACAAATTAAATAATTACCACTTTTCCTGCTTTCCTAATGGTTTGGTATTTGGAAGGATTCATTGCCTTAGTCGACTTTTTCGTTTTCATCTTATCCATCACAGCATAAACGGCAAAGCAGAGCCTTGCCATTCTTGGTAGATCACAGACGTTTATTTCAAACTCTAGTACTTCATTCCAAACGTGGTCACTTCTCCCAGATACTTCTGTGCTTACAATAGTTTTACAAAGGAGCTCTGTACCATGGAAAAGACCAGCCCTAACATGAACCTGCAATAAAGAAATGAGAAATTTTAAGCTTACCACAGAACCTAGAGAATTATGCATGGAATATTGTAGAGAACATACATAAATGCATTTTATCAATATTACTATGTTAAAAGAAATACTAATTTAGAGGTTTATAAAATGAAACAAATAATTCTTGAGAAAAAATTATTTTTCCTTTGCTATTCATGTTGCTGGACAAATCAAATTTGTTTAAATAATGTTGGCTACCAATTTTTAAGTTCTGAATTACTTCTATTACTGAAGTACTAATTGGGAATTAGAGAGCTGAAGTCACTTGTGCTCAATCCAGCTCACATTATAGGAGTGCTATCCATCTGACAAATGTTTTGTTTCCCACTACAAATGCTGCATTTATGAACCCTGTCAGTGGTTTCAGCAAAAATGGATGAATATTGATCCAAAGCACAAAGAAACTAAAAGACCAACAGCAGTGAATTGCACAGTCTTCGTATCAAGACTAGGAAACAAATACTTTCTCTTAGTGACAACTCCATAACAGACAGACAATGCAGGGAAACACGCACAAGCTTGCAAGGTTACTACAGGCATTCTTGTTCTTGGGTAACTACAGGACTGGAAAGTTTTCAAGACTAAAAAGCAGTCAAAGTGGAGGCCGGTCACGCGCGGTGTCCCTC